GGGGTCGTACAGGAGCCTCGCGCCACAGTCGAAACAAGGTCACAAGAACGTGGGCCAAGAGCATGGGCCTCTTCGCCGAGAGCCCAAGGCCCATGGAGACTGCCCAAACGAAGAGCACTTTATGATGGAGAGCCCAGTGGCGAAGAACATCGGGGCACCCCATCCAAAGCTGTGAGTGCTCGTAACCCTCGTCGCAGCTGTATGTTGCTCCCATCGTGCTTGGGGGCCACATTCCAGGACTCCTCCGAGCACCCAGAGAAATGTGTCGAAACAGTGTCTGCCCGACATGCTGGCGAAGTGTCGAACGAAAATTGCCTCCCGGGGCCCGACACGTGACAACCCTCCAGTTTCGATACTTTGCTGGTGCTCGAACATCTTTCTGGAGATCTAGGCTGAAGTAGATTGGAACATCTTAAGCCTCGCGTGGTCGCCCCAGCAGAGCTGGCTTCTGCCGTGGTAGCAGCAGTACGCGGACAGGTACATCTCGTCAGACATCAGGTACGGGGGGGCCGGAGGCCCAGAGAGGTGACGAGGGGCGCGCGGGCGCGGGGGGGCGGGCAGGAGGAGGCATTCTATGGAACTCCTCCTCCTCCTTCTCCTCATCCTCCTCCTGCACCTCCTCCTCCTCCTCCTTATCCTCCCCTCCTCCTGCTCTTCCTCCTCCTCTCCTCATCCTCCTCCTCCTCCTCCTCCTCCTCCTCCTCCTGCCTCTCCTCTCCTCCTACCTCCTCCTCCTCCGTCCTCCTCCCCTCCTCCTCCCCGTCTGCTCCTCCTGCTCCTCCTCCTCCTCCTCCTCCTCCTCGCCCTCCCCCTGGCCTCCTGCCCCTCCCCGAGGCCCTCCCCCTCCCGGCGCCGCCCCCGGCCTCCTGCGCTCCAGAGAATGCCTGTTTGTGCGCGTCGAATCCACGTCGGATTCACGTAAGGCTCACGTCGGATTGCATCGGAGGTACGTCGGATTTGCGCCAGAACATCGCCGCGCGAACGTCGTCCCACGTCTGTCTTGGCGGAGGTGCGGACTAGGTAGTACAACAATTGCGCGCCGCACGAGGCCTCCAGGATGTTCCTCATAAGAGGCGGGCTCAACGGTCGGGGGGGGAGGGGGGAGCAGGAGTTAGCGGACGAACAACTTTCTAAAAAATACACTTTTCCGCCGCAGGGGACGCCTGCCCCCCATGCGGCTGGAAAATGTATACCCCTACGTGGCACCGTAGGGGTATAAACTCTGCAGCTGCCCGGGGGACAGGCGTCCCCGACGGCGGGACAGTCAATTCTAAACCGTGCCTCGCCCGCCCTATTGAGGGGGGGGGGGGGGGGGACGGTACGGGCAGCGATAGCGAAGCGAAAGCGGGGGGGGGGGCGGTGGGGGGCGGACGACCGAGCCAAGGCTTCCGGGCCGAGCTGATGCGGGCAGCGATGGCCAAGGCAGCACGAGGACGAGGGAGGAGAGAGAGCACACAGGACCCTGACGCCCGCCGACGGGCTGCTGCGGGTCGCGGCCCCAGACCCCCCGGCATCCTCGTCGATCCTCGACCCTCGATCCTCCTCGATCCTCCTCCTCCTCGATCCTGCTCCTCGATCCTCGATCCTCCTCCTCGATCCTCGATCCTCCTCAATCCTCCTCCTCGATCCTCCTCCTCAATCCTTCTCCTCGATTCTCCATCCTCCTCGATCCTGGCACCTCTGCCCCAGAAGAGTGGCCGCGGCATCCGCCCGCGCGCGCTTCCCAAGGGCCAGTTTGTCGTCCGGATCATTTTAAAGGAGCCATGGGACACGCAAATAAGTAGACACAACTCCCTGGTTATCTTCGTCTATTTCCTGGGTTGCCGTCCTCCCCCCCCCCCCCACTTCCCGTATTTTCCAACTTCCAGGGGGGTCGACGAGGAAAAGTGTCTGTGTTTTTTTCACCCTGACCTTTTTTGGGGACGGGGCCAGGTCCGTGGCAAGAAGCTGCACGTCCATGGGTGGGAATGCGAGAAGATTTCCTGTACTTCTGCACGTCGACGTGAGCAGGCGCGATGCTTCCTTTGCGCACCAGGCCTGAATAGTGGCTGGCATTTGATTTTTTCCCTCGCGCCCTACATGGGCCCGCCCTCGTGCGAGCGGGGTGACTTGACTTGACTCCTGACCTTTTTGGGGACGGGCCCGGGTCCCGAGCGTGGACGGGCCCCAGAGGCCGAAGCCGAGGAAGAACGCCCAGATTGCAAAGCTCACGTCGTCGGGGGCCTGGGCTGGCTTGGCGGCGAGCGAGGTGGGGAAGCGAGAAGGAGAAGGCCTTCCCCGAAGGAGAAGGTGAGGCGAGTGAGGTGGGAAGTGAGAAGGAGAAGGAGAAGGAGAAGGAGAAGGAGAAGTGGGAAGTGAGAAGGAGAAGGCCTTCTCAGAAGGCTCGGAAGTCCCCTGGCCTTCTGAGAAGTGTTCCGGGCCTTCCCCGCAGACGCAGAGAAAACTTCTCAGAAGGCCATCTCCTCCTCGTCTCCCCCCCCCTCTCGGGCCGGGCGAGAGGGGGGGATAGCAAAGGGGGGGGTGAGAATCAGCTCAGCTGATTTTCCCAGCGCCTCTCGGCGCCGGAGGCGGCTATGTATCGAGGAATGGGCCCCTCGGTGGGGCCGAAACCAGCTGCACGCAGCAGATTTCGTAACCCCCCCTTTCCCAATCCCCCCCTTTCGTCCGGCCCGACCCTCCCTCGCCGCCGACCGGAGGCGGGCCGAGATCGGGCACGGGCACGGGGACGACGAGGCGCCGCCTCCCCGACCGCCTCGGGACCTCCGGGCCTTCGAAGACCGCCGCGGGCAGGGCGGGCCGCGCCAGGCTCACGTTCGACCGCGCCGCGTCCCAGCAGGCCGGCTCGTGCACCCCCGGCCGGCAGCACCTCGGGGGCACGCCAGAGTCGGGGGCGCGCAAACATGGAGCAATGCGGGATGGCGATTAATCACAAAATGGGAGAGAACGATCTAAAACATAGTTTTCTGCTATTTCTGCACAACTCTCTGACTGGAGGAGAACGATTAATTTATAAGAAAAAAAGTTTTCCAGCCCGCGGCCGGTTTTTTCTAATCGTTATCCCGGGCGCCGCCGCGTGACTACGACCCCTGGTCATTTATTAATCGTCATCCTCCATTAACGATCCATGGATGTGGCGCGCGGTCGCCAAATCCACGGACCGGGGGAGGTGCCCTCCCCAAAGTGCGGCCGGTGCCGGCTCGGTCGGCGGCGGACATTCGCGACTGCCCATGAACAAGGGGCCCGGTCGCTAGTCCATGCCCCCCTTGATCCATGTTTGCGCTCGCCTGAAACTCACGACACGAACGTGAACATCCGGAGGTCCGTGCGGATTTCAGGGGTGGACAGACCCCCCTTTCGTAAAACGTGGTTTAGTGAAAACGACCTGAGGCCCAAACCTGGCGATCGCCCGAAAGAGCGACCCTGGGCAAGGGTGACCTTTCGGGCGCGGCTCCAGGGGGCCCTGGGGGAGTCCGGCTCCGAGCGCGCAGGCCGTTGCTGGAAGGAGGACCCCTGGGAGCCCTCACTCCGGCGAGGGGTCACGTCACGTGCCTTACGCGCAGCCGAGCACCGCTCGAAGGAGCTCACTCTGGCGAGGGGTCACGTGCGTTACGCGCAGCCGAGCACCGCTCGAAGGAGCGCAGCCGGTCCCAGCACGCGCCGTCCCCCTCGGGCATGGCGCCGCCCTGCGTGTCGCAGCAACGCCGGGGCGTGGCCGCTGGGCCGCCCAGGGGGGCCGGGCCGCGCGCGAACTCTCCCGCCGTGCGCCCGTCGCGCCGCGCGGAGCGCGAGACTCGGACCCTGAGGTCCGGGCTTCGCCCGGCTACTGGCCCCAGGACCATCCCAGATCGGTCCGCCTCGGAGAATGCCACGGCCTGGCGGAGCTGTCAGGGAGCTTCAAGCATCCCGCGGACACTGGACAGTCAGAATCCAGGGCGGGCTCGTCAGAAATCGGCAGCACACCCCGATTCCCGCGAACTCGTGTCTCGCATTTGTCCGACCAATAGTGTTCTGGTCGTGGTTTTTGCGATGCATGTACTTATCCAGATCCGCCGCCTTGGAACCGACGTCATGGTGCCCCAGCGGGCGGTGGATATGGACATCTTTTGGCCCCTGGGGGCCAAATATGTCCACATCCACCGCCAGTCAAGGTCTCCGACATCGATCCTCTAGGCGGTGGTTATGTACAAATCCTCGCCTCGGAGTTTTCCGCAGTGCCGCAAACTGTTGACAACCCCGGATCGCAGGGGCTCTCCTCCTCCTCCTCCTCCTCCTCCTCCTCCTCCTCCTCCTCCTCCTCCTCCTGCTCCTCCTCCTCCTCCTTCTCCTCCTCCTACTCCTCGTTGTCCTCCTCCTCCTCCTCCTCCTCCTCCTCCTCCTCCTCCTCCTCCTCCTCGTCCTCCTCGTTCCGTAGCCATTTTGGCTCAAGATGCTCTGTTCCACAGGGGAACAAGTGGATACCGCTAGTCCGCGGCCAGTGCCAGGGCGTTTCTGCCCGACAGTTTTGCTTCCGTCTCTCCTGGCCCTGTGGCTGGCCTCGTTGCTCTCCAGAGCAGGCGAGGGACCATGGCGCCTGGAGGCCGCGGCGGTGGTGGCGGCGAGGCCAAGCCTGACTGGTACTGCCGTTTCTGCAAGTACGAGCGCGGGCCCAAGATCGGGATGCCATGCATCACGTTCGGTTCCAAGCAGCTCTGACACTTCTGCGGCGGCGCCAAGGACCGCACCTTCCTGGGCCATGTCCGAGGGGAGGAGGGGTTGCGCCGTGGCCACAGTGGCACCACAGGTGCTGGTGGGGGCGCAGACGCCGCTGGGCAGCACCTCGCCATGCAGAAGGAGCTCACCAGGCTGCGTGAGGAGCTCAAGACCTTGCGGGCGGAGGGCAAGAAGGGCCCCGTGGCGGAGGCGCCCAGCGGCGCTGAAGCTGAGGAGGGCGCAGAGGGAGGTGACGAGCAGCGCAAAATCGAACATCTTGACGGCCAGCTACGTGCGCTGCGTGGTCTCTCCGACCCAGGGAAAGACATCCTCGACACGATCGAGCGGATCGCGGCCCAGCGGCAGGTCTCGGCAGAGCAGGTGCGTGCCAAGAAGCCCGCGGTGGCGCAGCTGCTCACTCTCCAGAAGAAGCTCAAGTCCAAGCATGACGCCATCAGCAAGCAGGACGCGGCGGTGGCCAAGGCGCAGGAGGCGGTCACCACGGCGCAGGCTGCGCTGGAGGCTGAGCGCGAGAAGGGCACCAAGCTGCGTGCTGACGCGGCCGAGCTGGAGGAGCAGCTGCGGGCGCTCAGTGCCCAGGTGCCCAGGCTTCCAGACGCGAAGGAGTCCGTGGGGGCCCCAGGTGGGGCGCCAAACCTCGATGGCCTGGCCGACCTGCTCAAGGTGTTGGGGGCGTCGGGGGAGGTCACCGAGAAGTTCCTGGCCCACCCCAAGATCGCGGCGTCTTTCGGCCCTAGGGCTGCGACGCGAGTGCGCCCTGCTGGTGACGTGGATCCCGGTGGCGTGGCGGCGGCGCCGCCCGACGCCAAGAGGCTGCGCACGGTGGCCGACAAGGCGCCGCTCGAGCAGCTGCGTGACAGCATTGCGGCCGCAGGAGTCCAGGTCCCCACCGAGGAGGCGGAGATCAGGGCCAAGGCGCACCATATCGCCGCAGCTGCCAGTGCGTGGGCCTATCGTGCCTACTACGTGGCGGGGGCCGAGAAGTTGGTTGTTCTGGAATACCCTGATCAGTATGATGATGGGAGTTTCTGGTAATACAAAGTATGGTGGCAGTGCGGGTGCTGTCAAAGGTGTGTTGACCACGGTCAATGTTTCATGTGCGCGAGGGCTGACCGAGTACCTCGCGGACGACCCGAAAAGTGACATCTACGGCGTGCAGGAGCATCGTGTCTTGGGCGACAAGTGGGGCTCCCTGCAGGGCCAGGTGAAGGACTTGGGATTCCATGGTCTGTGGGCCCCAGGCGTGGCCACAGGCCGTGGCCCGCTGGACGTCTCGAGCGGCGTCGCGCTCCTCACGCGCAACGTCATCCCCGTGACGGCGCCGCCCTTCACGCCCTCCCACGTTCTGGAGGAGGCGCGCGTGCTGGCGGGCCACGTGCACTGGGGCGTGAAGGGCGGGCTCATCGTCGTTGTGGTCTAGTTGAGGCACTCCGTAGGCATGGACGACGACAACTCGGACACGGTCCACGAGCTGCAGCGCTACCTCAGGGTGCTCAACGCACGCGGGCTGGACTGGGTCGCCATGGGCGACTGGAACATGGAGCTGGACGAGCTGAAGGGGCCATGGCTCGAGCAGGTGCGGGGCGTCCCGATCGTCCCGACAAAGCCGACGTGCTGGCGAACGGTGGAGGGCTCCTGCCTGGACTACCTCATCGCGGCGCCGAACCTGGACCCGAGGCTAGGCGAGGCTTGGGCCGCGACGGATGCGGCGCTGCACCCACGCGTCCCCGTGCACGTGAACCTGGCCACGGTCGACCGCGAGCCCTTTGTCAGGGTCGCCGTCGAGCCGCGAGGGTTCACCGCGGTGCCGCCAGTGGGCGCGGCGCCTTTCCCTCATGACCGAGGGCGGCGGGCGGCGCTGCAGCAGGTCCTCGCGGCGGAGGAGCCTGGGCGCCCGGCGCAGGCGTGGGGCGCGGTCGTCAGCATGGCGGAGGCCGAGCTCTGCAGCCGCTGGTACCTCGTGGGGGCTGAGAGGCGGCAGCACACGGGCAGGGCGGGCGAGCCTGTCTTCAAACTGGCCCAGCCGACGCGGCAGCCGCCGCGACGGAGGAAGCTGTACGACCCGAAGGTCACCGCCCACATGGTGGCGGCGCGGTGGGCTCGGCATCTGGACGCGGCCCGCACGCGCTTGGTCAAGTTGCTGGGGTGCGACCTGGACGACCGCATCGAGCAGGCCGTTGACCTCAACCGCTACTGCGGCAACGTGGCGAAGTCGCAGCGCGTGCTTGGCCAGCTCTCTGAGGAGGTCGCACAGTGGCTCTCGGGCGGCGTGGCCCAGATGAGCAAGGGGACGTGGGCCGCCAAGGTCGAGAAGATCGTGGCGGAGGCCGATAGGTACACCAGGCGCTACACTGGGGAGCGTGAGAAGGAGTGGCGTGCGTGGGCGGCCAAGAGCCTCACAGGAGGGGCGAGTGCTGCACACCGCTTCACGAGGCTACCTCCTGAGGCTGAAGTCCGTGGGGCCACCGCGCGGGCCAGCCCGCGCCAGATGGCTGACCGCGAGCTCGACGGATGGAGGGATGCGTGGACAGTACACGAGCAGGGTGCCCTGGAGAAGCCTCCTGACTTTGATGACTGGGCCGAGCTCCCGCGGATGAGCGTCGGTCACCTCCGACGTGCAGCGCTGTGTTTCGAAGAGCGCACCGCGGTGGGCCAGGCGGGCATTGCCCCGCGGGCCCTCTGGCATCTCAGCGACATCGGCCTTTACGTGCTGTCGACGCTCTGCAGCCAACGCGAGAAGCTGAGGGCGTGGCCGACGGACAGGGTGCACACAGTGCTGGTGCGCCTGCCCAAGGCGAGCGGAGGATGCAGGCTGATTGCCCTTGTGAACTCCTTCCTCCGTCTGTGGGCGAAGGCGCGTTCGACGATTTCGCGTGCCTGGCTCGACCAGGCGGACGTGTCCAATCTCTGGGGCACTGGTGGAGCTGGCAGGACCTCGACGGCAGCAGCGTCCCATCACAACCTGACGGCTGAGATCATGAACATCAATGGAGGGCACAGTGTCACAGTGCTCCTGGATGCGTGGAAGGCGTTCGACAGCCTGATCGGAGGCAGGCTGCTGGACGAGGCTCGAGCCATGGGGTTTCCGCCCCGCCTCATGTGGGCCGTCCTCAAGTACCACCACCTGCCGAGGCGCATCAAGGCGTTCGGCTCGATGTCGAAGAGTTTCACGGCGCACCAGGGCATCCTGGCGGGCTGCTCCCACTCGATGGCGGTGCTGGTGGTGGCGACGGCGCGGGCCTTGAGGCGGCTTGCGGCGTATGACGTGATCCCGCGCACGCTCGCCGACGACACCTCGGTACAGTGGATCGGCACGGACCTGCGAGGCGTGCGCGTCCTGTGGCAAGCCGTCAAGCGCTTCAAGCACGAGGTCAGGGACGTGGGCCTCGTTTTGCAGGAGCTCAAGTCGGGCTACGTGGCGACGCCCAGGCAGAGCCGCGATGCAGCGGCGCAGTATGCCAGGCGGCTCAGGATGGGATCGCAGCCGCACATGAGGAACCTGGGCCACGACCTGAATGGGACCAAGGCCTGCAGGAAGGTCGTCAAGACCAGACTCAAGAAGGTGAGGCCGCGGCTGAGGCGCGCGGCGAGGCTACGACGTGCTGCTGGAGGGCGTGCGGCGCGCCTGTGGCAGACAGGCCTGCTGCCTGCTGCCGCCCACGGGGCGGCGGTGAGCGGCGTGGCCCCCTCCGAGCTGGCCGTGCTGCGCTCGGAGGCGGCCCGGCTTGCTGGCGCCAAGGGCCGAGGTGGCAGCAACGCGCTCTACCTGGCCAGCGAGAGGAAACCGTGGTACGACCCAGTCTTCGCGGCGACTGTCGAGCCGCTCATGCACTACGCTGCGGTCGCGTGGAGGCAGGCGGTGTCCATGAGTGCGCTGGAGAAGGCCTGGCGAGTGGCGCTGGATAGGGTCGAGGCGGGCGAGGACAAGCTGACGTGGGCCTCGGCGCGCGGGCCGCTCAAGGTGGCCGTCCTGTCGCCCAAGCGGATTGGCTGGGCGATGTTGTCGTCGGTGCTGATCCAGCCTGATGTGGGGCCAATGATTTCGCTCCTGGCCACGTCGCCTCGCTTTTTTTTTCGCGACCTCCTGAGGCAGGGGGTTCAGCGTTGGCAGATGCGCCAGATTGCCTCTCCATGACGCGGCCGTGCCTCTATGGCCGCGAGGCCTGCGAGCGTGTGTGGGCGGGAGGGGGGCGACGGTGACTGGGGCGGGGAGGGTCGGAGCTCTGCGCAGCCTCTGGTCTGGCTCTCTTTGGCCAAAAGC